TTATACCACTACTTCGACTGCCATCACACATTCCTTGCTTCAACAACTTAAATTAATAATATATTTAAGATTTGAGGTTATCACGACGGTAGATGTCCACCGACGTTTCTGATGTCATGCTGCCTCCGTCATCATCGCCCTGATGACGGATTCAGCATGACCTCTGAAACGTTGGTAAACATCTACCAGACTACACGGCGCAAAAACCTAGAAGACAGCAATCTTTAATAACATATTGTGAGGTAAGATTTTAGGGTGTCAGGGAGACGATGTTTAATGCCTCCATCATCAGGGAGATGATGATGTTGGAGTCAGTAAACACATCTGAAACGTCGGTCACTTTCTACCAGATTACTCGGTAACATCCTAGAACACAGCCATATTAAATATGATATTAAACCCACAACACTGTAATAAAAATTAGTCTCCAACAATGAGGCGTACATTTGTCCCATTTACAGCACCACAGAATTACCTAAGTTTTTTATTGCACTCACCTCTGCTGGTTGCATGGGATGGATGACCTTCAACCGGGCTACATCGCACTACTCTGCATAGTAACTACGAAAACACAACACCATGCCTGCACCGAGACTTATTATAATGGCTTCAGTACGTTATACTAATTTTCAAAGTTTGCTGATTATTATAAACCCAAATTCCACTTATAATATCATCTTACAACTTAATTTCCAACCAAATAAACACTTGAAACAAACACAGCAACTATCCCATTTGCACCAACTCAAACGACAGTCTTCTTTTTCTACCGCCAGACTTCGTTTTTCAACGACTTCGTTTCGGTAATTTCCGGTTCTCACACAGGCTTGCGACACACGTACCAACTGTCGCGCAGGGATATACAAAGTTTTCGCAAACTTAGCGTATTTATGCTTTACGACCAGAATAAAAAATATGTCAGAATAAAAGTAAACACTCCCAAAAAGTGTCCCAAGTTCGAATTCTGGTGAAGATGGTTTCTGTGAATTGGAAAACAATAAACATACATGAACATTGAAAATGACTAATAGATTACAAGAAAAATGTAACTGTGTAATTTTGTAATAATTTCACAAACGAAGCTCCTGAATGTACATTCTTTCTTAGTTCGCCGCTGTAAATTATATTTTACAATCAAACAATTCACGCTGTAAATAACTTGAGATTATTTCCCTGCAATAAAACTTGCTCCAGCTTTGTTAACTTGAAGCTACAAAACTTCAAATTAATCATTTAAAAACCAATGGTAACATTCTGTTCCATATGCTTTAACAATAATTTTACGATAATCATTGTCTTTTACGTTTAATTTTTTAATCATTTCGACAGCTCTTGCCGAATTTGATCTGTGTAACTTCTGTTATGGATTATCCCTTGGTTTGAATTTCGGTCATTTAAGCTCAACTAAGCATCAGTTTAATCGTACACTTAAATAAAAACATCCTTAGTTACGATTCTGTATGGATATTTTGTCAGATTCTGATCTAACTAACATCTGCGCCCTGTTACCAATAAATCGTTCGTGCGTTCCATTCAACTTAATTTCCCT